CCAGCCGCCGCACAAGTTGTTTTTCTCGGGCTGCGAGCCGCTCGCGTCTTCGTCGATGCGATCTTCATTCTCTCCGGAGATGCAGTAACCCTGCTGAGGCATCTTTCACCCCTTTGCGAGTTGTTAAGTTTCTTATCTCGTGTTATTACGCAGGGCAGGGGCTGCAGCGGGTTGGGAGGGATGCTGGCAATGTGAGAACACACACAATTTTAGTGGTTTTTAAAAATAGCTTGTCTTTTTTAAAGTAGGATTCAGCAACATTAGTTGAGATTGTTATGATTATACTTGTTTTTTTTACTTTACAGCAAGCCTTCCCGTTACCCCCTGACTGGGATGGAGATCTCTTCCCATCAGTTTCACCTCCTCGAGCAGCTCAACGAGCAACGGAAGCAAGACTTGTTCTGCGACTGCAACATCCTGGTGGAGGGAAAGGTCTTCAAAGCACATCGCAATGTGCTGTTTGCCAGCAGCGGCTACTTCAAAATGCTCCTTTCGCAGAGCTCCAAGGAGACGAGCCAGCCGACAATTGCTAATTTTGAGGTCTTCTCTCCAGAGACATTTATGGTTATCCTGGACTTCGTCTATTCAGGCGTATTGTCTTTAACCGGTCAGAATGTGATCGAAGTAATGTCGGCTGCTAGCTACCTGCAGATGACCGATATTCTTAATGTCTGCAAGACGTTCATTAAGTCCTCGCTGGATATTAATGAAAAGGAAAAGGATCATTACCTCAGCCTTTCGGCCAAAAGCACAAACAACGAGCCTGCCCGTCCATCTATCTATCGGTCAAGAAGGAAAGCAAAGAGCAACCCAAGGCGCTCCTATTCCATCCCAGATGAAAAGGCAAATACAGTGAATGAAAATTCCTGGAGCAGTTACAGCTGCCTGTCCTCACAGGTGATTCTTCAGCGGGCAGAAACGCAGCTGTCGAAGAGAGGGAGAAAACAGGGCTCGACGAGAAAGCGCCGAAAGCACCTCGGACTGTCACAGGCCCGTGATTTTGAGCAGCACAAATCGAGCAAAGCCGAGAGGGCCGGCGGAGGCTGCAGCGCGTCAGAGTCCAGCCACGTCTCTCGGGTTAGGGAGGAGGCTGAACTGGACGCTGAGAATGACGTTGATGAGGGTGATTACGGATATAATCGCGAATCGGAAGTGATACCAAAGAGGTGGCCTGTTGCTCAGCTAGAACAAGAACTTTCAAGAACTCCCGAGTTCATGGAATTAAAAGCAGAGGAACTGTACACCTCAATGCCCACGATTTTAGGTGTAATGAGTAGTTGGAACGAAGGTAAAAAATACATATGGTTTTGCAAAGTTTGTCTTTATTTGCAAGAATTCAGATGATCTTTTGGAGAGAATTTGTGTAGCTGCATGAATAGCAAAAATGATGCCTAGAGTTGCAGATTATTTTCTTAATCTACTCAGTTATAGTGCCTAACAGAATGGGAGACTTTGAAGCCAGAACAGAGCATGAGAATTGGAATCAGAGAGCTTGACTCAGGTATTCCATAAAGTTAAAACAATACCCGCCAGATTATTTGGACCCAAATGGAGTTTTATGAAGCCTCAAGAGCTATAATTGACTTGGGGACCTGAAGGACTGAATTTCTCTTGTAACGTCCCCAATACCTGGCAGTAATAGAGGCGTTCAGCCTAAATCCAACCCAAGTGGTTCACAAGAGAAGGTCCTGTCACTGGCAGGATGCTGCATTTCCTTTAAGGTCTAAATCAGCCCACGCTTCATGAGTGTTTGGCCAAACTACATAAAGCATCTAAGCTCTCCATGGACTGATGGAATATGCCTGAGATGGTGGAGTAAAGTTAATAGGTGTATTCTTATGTGCATTCCTTTGGAAACTATAATTATAGTTTATATTATAAGTACTATAGGTACTCTTAAGTACCTATAATTTACTGTAATTGCATATTTTTAAGATTTTGGGCATTCTAGTATACTACATGGAGATTATAAATGTCAAAGCTGTGAACTATTAGCAGATAGCTATACATTATAGTTATGCATAGTCATCATATCTGCCTCTTCCATCATCTGTATGTCTAAAAAACACCCTAAGAAAGAATACGTTCTCAAACGTCTGTTTAACACATTAAATAAGAAACAGTGGTTTGGGGGGATTACCTTTTGGGATTTTTCTTATTTAGTGGCAGAACAGAGGAAAAATGATCTGCTGCTAATTAAAGCTGAAAAATAACCAAACTACTACACAAAGGCTGCTGCTGCTTGACGTTTTACCTGTGTTTCTCTGCAACAGATGACCTACCTCGGATGCGATTCAAGTGCCCCTTCTGCACGCACACAGTGAAGCGACGCGCAGACCTGAAGCGACACCTCCGCTGCCACACAGGGGAGCGACCGTACCCTTGCGAAGCGTGTGGGAAAAGGTTCACCCGACTGGAGCATTTACGGAACCACTTCCAAACGGTACGCTGCTTCAATCGGAGATTCAGCCTGGAAAACATCCATAAGATGTCATTGGTACCAGCTGTTCAGTCATTTCCAGAGATAATACCAGAAAAGCTTCCTAGCTGCACATCGACTTTAATTATTCATTATTTAAATTGGCAAATTGGTTTTTTGTTTTTTTTTTTTTAGAATGATTCAGTGAATTTTATTTTTCTTTAAAAAAATTAATTTAAAAAATTTCTGCTTTTGGATGAACACTGATGTTTTCCAATTTGAAATCTCTTTAGATACATCAAGCTGGCAAACTGATCTGCAGAAAATGCAAGCGTCACGTAACTGAATTAACAGGATGTGTTGTTCAGCAAGGAACAAGACGCTACAGACTGTGCCACAAGTGTCTAGCAGAAGCTAATTTTGACAGCATCCCTGACGATTTAGATGCAGAACACTCTCCTGTCTCCTCCTCGGGAAACAAACATTCCAAATGGGCTTTGGAGGAGGAACAGAAATCAGATGAAGAGACAATGGAGGAGGAACCGTATAATTTGGTTGTCCGACACGTTAAAGATGATGTTCCAGATGAGGCAGATGAAAAGGTGAAACCAAATCTGAGGTAGATATATTTGTGTATTTGTTCCTGTTGTATTCAAGATTAAATTACTTGGGTCCTACCAACTCATGCTGGTTTATTGCTTTCAATAAAATTAAATATTTTAAAAATTCTATTATGAGAAGCAAAATATGGACTACAAACAAGTTGGTTTGTACTTGCAGACATGCAACTTCTAAATATCATCTAGAAAGTACTTCTTATCTGGAAACTATTTAGAAGAATTGGTTTATATTTCATCAAAGACTTGCTCAGAGCTCCTGTTTGTAATGAAAGCATGAACCATTTTACAGTTCTACAGACATTCTACACAATATAGATTTAAAAATTGATAATTTGCTTTGAAAGAGGCTTACTAAAGTAAGCAGCTGAGAAATATAAACCACATTTTTGTTGACACTATAATTAATATGTATATACACTTCAGAAACTTGGTAAGAAAGAAAAAAACGAGTAGAATGCTTCCTGCTTAAGAACCTATTTATGGGAGCTTTGTTTTCTGAGTGAGTTTACTGCTTCTTACAGTTCAGAAAAACATGGGTAGTTTTAAAGAATACACACAGCCATACAGAGTAGAATAATGAACAGAGCATCTGTAGTGCACTTGGATAGTATGAGTTTGCCTTTTCAGATACGCTGTGTTTTTGTACTGTGAGTTTTAAACAAAGATACACTAACATGGTTCCAAGGAAATAAAAGTGCAATCACTGGAAGTACAGTTGTCAGGGTTTTTCCTTTTTTTTTTTTCCAGGACTGGTGCAAGATTTGCTTAAACTCCTGTCTATCTTATGCTAAGATAATGAGGAGGATAAGTCCCTTTCATTTCAGTGGGGCAATTGTGTCTTGGATCATGGAGCTACTTTAGAAAGCCTTTCTTGTGCATATAAATTTAGGATGCTTAACAGCTGCTTGACAGTCAGCATAAAAACATTTGTTTATAAGGACAATTTCCCTTAGAGTTTAAGCAACTTTTGTAATTCTAGAGTCTCTTCAGCTTTTTTTTGTAATGATATTTTTTTCCCAGTCATTTGGGCAAGAGAACCTCCACTTGCTAGAGAAACTGAAAAAGCTTAGTACTAAAGTGATAAAAAAAAATCTTAGAGAGAACATATAGCAGAAACATTCTGAGAGCAGAGAATGGTATTCCCAGTAGGAACTCTTGACAAAGAGCCACGGTTTGATCTCATGTCTCATTCGATGCTATGCGTCCTTTCCTGTTAGCAGAATCCGTAGCCTGAGGTTACTGCCAAACAAGCAAAAATTCCCTGTAGAGAACTTGAGAACAGCCATATTGATTCACATCAAGGTTCTCCCTGTCTCCAACAGTTGCCATTAACAGATTATCTAGGGAAAAGCGAGAACAGGGCAAGCCTGTATAATAATTCCCTAATGCTCTCCCAAACCAGCCATTTTCAGTTTCGGGGATTTTACTAACTTGAGATTTCTACATTTAGTAACCACCAATGCATGTCTTTTCCAAACACTTCTCCATTTTACCCTTAACTTCTCCATTTTACCCTAAACTTCTTGCATCAATCGCAAGTATCCTTTGGCAAACGTCTCCCCAAGTCCAGTGATCCCTGTGAGTCCCATCTTCAGATCTGGCTCCTGCAACAGCCGCTGCGGCGTCGCGCTGACCCCACAGAGACACACACGAACTCGCGACAGAGCTTGCTCAACTAACAGCCACAGAAGAAGGGTTTGCAGTTTAAGCACGTGTTTTAATTAACCACTTCAGGTAGGTCATTGTCTCAGCGAGAGACGACAGCCATGGGAGCTGCTGTGATGCAGCGGGGGAACAGGACTTCTTCCAGAAAAGGGGCTGAACCCCGCCACTCCCACAGCTCTGGAAATGGAATGAGGCGAATTTAAGGCCTGTTTTATAAGTACGTAATAAATACTGTAAAAAAACCAGATGACTGGTGACACACACTTAGTGAATTCCAATCGTTTCCTAGCAAGTTCCTGTCACCATTTCTAAAACCCGAGCAGTTTACTGTGTTACTACAGCCTGTGACTGCTGAAATACACAGGGCATCTCAGCACTTACACAAAGTTAAAATCTACCTTCATTAAATTTCTCTTTTCCCGTTTTAGAGGGCTGGGCAAAAGGACCGGCCCCCCCCAGCCCTTTCCCGCCGCCCCGACCGCCTCCTCAGGCTCTGTGGAGAACACAGCCGCCTCAACTCGACGCCTGATTGGGGGGGGGGCGCCGCCATGGCGCCGCCCGCCCGGCCTCACCTCCCGGTGGGCTCCGGTGGTTCGCGGTGCGGCGGGAAGGCCGGGAGCAGTTCGTTTTCGAGCTCTTCCTCCACAGTGGTGCTGTGTCCGGCATGTGCTGGAGCCCTGGGGCAGCTCCTGAGGGAGGAGAAAACCCAGTGTGTGAAAATCGTACTTCCGTGCCAGGGGGCGCCGCCATGGCGCCGCCCGCCCGGCCTCACCTCCCGGTGGGCTCCGGTGGTTCGCGGTGCGGCGGGAAGGCCGGGAGCAGTTCGTTTTCGAGCTCTTCCTCCACAGTGGTGCTGTGTCCGGCATGTGCTGGAGCCCTGGGGCAGCTCCTGAGGGAGGAGAAAACCCAGTGTGTGAAAATCGTACTTCCGTGCCATCAAACAGGCGTATTGTCGTTCTTACTTGCAGAAAAGCCCACTTACCTCAGCAGAGAGCAAAGCACCATAATTCATTAAGGTTAAAAATCCACTGGCCAAAATGACTCACACACAAATCCGCCAATTCTTTCAGTCCAAGTTTTATTTCGGCATGGAAGCTTTCTCCAAAAATAAAAGGGATTTTATCCCTCCATCGAGTATGGAAATAAAACCAGATCTATTTAAGATGACTTTACAGCGAAATAAAGATGAGACACCCCCTCCGGAGGGGAGGCACTTGCAGCATTTACAACAATTAAAGCAGGTCGGGCCAGCACTGACTGCCCCTACTCACTGTGCCCCTCCCCTGTTAAATCACGCACATTTTGCTGCCCTGCAATTTAAAACAAAACACGGTTTTGATTATTTTTCATTAATTTTGATTCAGTGAACTGAAGTCCATAATCTTTAATGTTACAGGATTGTCCGTATTGTCCTTTCTAAAGGAAGTCAGGGAAGCTGATCGGAATCGCCTGCTTTTTAAAAGAAGCGAGCCAGCTTTCCGGAGTCACAGCTGGGAGCAAACCCGCAGAGAAACTGGTGCATCCCCTTCTAGAGTGACAACAGGAGCTATTAGGATTCCATGTCCATGGTCACATGCTTTAGGATTTCACGTGGAAATTTATTTACAGCAATTCAGCACCACCTGCTGGCATGACTTTTTTTTTAAAAAGTAGTCTAGGAGGTGTGGTGGTTTGTTTTTCAAACAGGTATACTTTCTTAGGCGTCCTTTGAGCAGTCAGAAGTTTTGCTACGTTAAATCTGACCCACTGCAGGTGTTTTGGACCTTCTAGATAATATGGAGGAGGGATGTCACCTCGGAATTGGAACACTTAAATCTGCAAATGAAATCGTGTCGATGAACATTATCTCCTGCCACCCTACAGAAAGAGTACTTCAGCCAGCAGCTCCACTAATGTCTCTATTTAGTTCACATAGCATCCAATACATGTATCAGCCTTAAAAGCTGACTACTAAGCACTCCTGAAAAACTTTCAACCCCTACAACTCTCTCTCTTCTTCTCAATACTCCCCAAAACCCCAACTAGTCCTTTTTTTCCTGGCATGCAGGTATTTCTCTGTCTCACCATCCTCAAGTCAAAACACAGGCTGACATTCCCCTCCATTACTCCCTTCAATTTATGACTCAAATTGGCCAATTCCTTGGTTACTTCCACGGGGATTACAGTTTTCAAGGGGCTTTTGCCAACCAATGACAAGTACCCACTCAACCACACTCTTCTTGCTTTAAATATCAATGATGACAAAGACTTCTGGCTTTTCGTCTTCACAGATCTGCATTGCTGAGTAAGTTATGGCTTTCACCTCCGTGCCCTAGAGAGAAAAGACACAAAAGCATGGATTTTCTAAATGACATGCCTTGTAGCAGTTCATGATAATACACACTATTTATCACCTTCTCTGAATGCTGTCCAGTTTTTCTCCCCAAAAAGCTGTATTTGTTCTGATGAATAAGAACATACTAATGGCAAGGACTTGGCCATGCCAAGCAACTCTTCCTTTACTTTATTGACTCTTGAATACTACAAATTCCTCCTCTTACCTCAAACGTTTGCTATGCCAATACTGACACAGCTAAAGAGCTAGCAAGGAGATAAAGATTTGTTTCTTATAATTCTTTAGGGGGGGTGGGGGGAAAAGTCAGTAACTGACTAAGCAAAAAGCTGTCGTAGTACTGTGAAAACCAAACCCATGTACACACTCTGAACACAGATTGGTTTACTGTGTTATCAGCATCACAAAAAGGAATCCAGCTCTTGAGTTTCGCTAGTGCTGAGGAAGTATCTGATGCTCAGGCCAACAGTTTCAGGCATGCATTCGCAAAAACCAGCCAGAAAGTGACATCTTAAGTTTAGTGCCTGTGATACCACTCAGATGTGTTTACACCTGGATCCCTTGAGAACTCAGAGGTCTGTTTAAAAGTCACCAACCCTCCCCATCATACCCCTAAAACGTAAAAGATGTACAGATGAACCACTGCGTACCTGAGGGTGTTTGGGTAAAGAGAACTCTTCTCCCCACCTTTAAAGGCAAAAAGAAGAGAGGTGGTTGGAATTTTGGTAATATTTACCAAATGTTATAATTAGTTTCACTGATGAGCATAGGACAGTGAGATTTTAACTTAAAGCCTCAAAGGAAAGAAAAAAAAGTCCACAATCCACTTTTTAGAAAGCATCAGTGAACTCTAGCACATCACGGTATTTCAGAGTGGTTACTCTGAAGGTAATATGCATTTTCTGTAAACGTACTAGTTATCAGTAAATATACTGATCGTTTAAGCTCACCCAATTGATCTTATTTTGAACTGCATTCGGTCAATGTAAAGCACTTTCACCTCCTG